GGCCGGTGCCACTGGTGGGCTGGGGGTGATCTGCTGACCCACGGGCTGGGGGGACACCTGGGCTGGCTGCTGAGCCATATTCGGAACTAAGGCCTGCGACGGCGCTTTTGCCACCGGGCCTTTGTTATCCCAAGTTCCAATATCCATGTTATGTTTTATTGGAGGCGGCGGAAGGCTTGAACCAGCGATGCCGTTCTTGGCCTTCAGCTTGGGCTGCTGCTTAGCTGGTTTGCTGGCGATGTCAGCCCAGGAGGTTGGCTTTGGAGGAGCAATAGTAGCCGGAGGCAAACTGTTGGATGCCACAATATTACTGGTGATAGATCCGCTCCCGACAGCAGAACCGACGACTTTGGGGACGCTGCTTGCAACGTCTGTGCTGCCCAGCTTGAGAGCTGCCATCCCTTGGTCGATGGTGTTCATGCCAGGAGCCTTGTTCAGAGTCTCATTAGCAAAAGCTGACTGCCCATCAATCATGGCTCCCCCCAGCGAGCTCGGGGCATAGGCGTAATTGCTGCTATAGCCAGAGCTTTGAGTGGATTGTCCCTGAGAACTGTTATTCCCCCAAGCTGAAAAGTCAATCCCACTTGGAAAGAAGTTAAAGCCGTGCTGCCCAAGAAATGGAGTGCTGCCAAGAGCCCCTGGCTGCCCAAACATTGCATCTGGGAGGAAGTGAGGCTCCCCATTGCTCAGCTGTCCGTAAGAGGTTAGGTAGGGCATGGGTGGGTCACCCCCTGTAGACCAGGCTGCTTCACCTAAGGAGTAGGAGAATCCGATGGAAGGACTGTAGTAGTTTGGTAAGTAGGAATCAGACATTGCAGTGTATGCATTATTCTGGAAAGAAGAAAAAAGAAGAATACATCAAACAATAAGCACTGAATGGTTACAATTGAGTTGAATAAACATGAATAAAAACCAGCTTGGACTTCCTGTGCCCCACCTCTGCCTACCTTAGGGCCTGGCCTTGAAATACATCCTGTGTTAGAAGTGTTCCACAAACTGTTTCATTACCCAAAAAGCTTAAACACAAAGGCTCAGCAAGCTTCCAAGTGCTGAGATGGGAGTGCACTGTGCTCCTGGGTCCATGATCTTAAAGGTCTTTTCCAGCCTAAATGATTCGATGTGGGATATGGACACAGAGCTCTTGCTCAGGCTACAAACCCAGTACCTTACCCAGCATCCAAATACTATCTTCTACTTCTTGTAGCTACTACCAGTGAGGGCTTTTCTTGCCTGTGTAATGTACTTGACAGCCCTTATTCTGATGTTTGAGGGAAGGTTTGGAACGAGGATGCACATAAAGTGGCATATGGAGGAAAAAGGTGCAGTAGAAGCACATTGCCAAAGCAAGGATTGTCCCTAACTGACTGCCTTAAACCTGTTACCCAGGAAAACAGCTTCAGCCCCACAATTTAAAGTTTCAGAGCTCCTAATATTCCAAGAACTTGCAAACAAACAAGGATTTCAACAGACTGCTCCAGAGCTGTAGGCACAAATACCTGGACATGGGGAGGAATTGACAGGGTTTCACTAGGAGCCTTTCCCAGCACAGTGACAGCAGCAGCACAAGCAAGCAGGCTTCAGATTCAGAGAGGGAGGGGAAAAGAGCTGCTCCACGCCTTGGTCTCCCTTTTAACACCCAAATAGCCTTTAGGTTAGGAAAACAAACGCCCCATTTTACAATTAGGGAACTCAGCCATCACCAAGATTTGCTTCCATGAAACCCATGTGTCATCGTGCACTCAAAGCACTGCCCCTCCGGGGAGCACTTAGAGCCACGCTAATGGCCATTCCCATCCCAGAACCTGGAGCTGGGAGCAGCCAGCCCCTCGCTGCACAGCTGCTCACAGCCAGCCCAGTGCAGAGGAGATGAAAGGCAGGTTCAGCTCCCAGTTAAAAGCTTGGCTCACAGCAGGCACTGCTCCAGTTCTCCTTGAATCACGCTTTCACGTGCCAAGCGCGGCTCCTGAAGGACTTGACGCCGTCCTGAAATCTGTGGAGATCTCAAGATGGCTCTGGCACCCTCCAGAAATAGCTGCTTTGCCACTGCACTTGCCAGTAAATTCACAGAATCATAGAACGGTTTGGGGTGGAAAGGATCTCAAGATCATCCAGTTCCAACCCCCCTGCCACGGGCAGGGACACCTTGCACTAAACCACATCACCCAAGGCTCTGTCCAACCTGGCCTTGAACACTGTCAGGGATGTGTTCAAGGTGATTCACAACTGCCTTGAGCAACCCATTCCAGCGCCTCAGCACCCTCACAGGGAAGAACTTCTTCCTTGTATCCAACCTGAACTTCCCTTGTTTCAGTTTGAACCCATCACCCCTTGTCCTGTCACTTCAGTCCCTCATGAAGATCCCTCTCCAGCATCCTTGTAGCCCCCTTCAGATCCTGGAAGCTGCTCTGAGGTCTCCATCAGCTTCTCTTCTCCGGGCTGAACAGCCCCAATGTTCTCAGCCTGTCTCCACACAGGAGCAGCTCCAGGCCCTGAGCATCCTCATGGGCTCCTCTGATGCTGAGGACACCAGCACTGCACACAGAGCTGCACGTGGGGTCGTGTGAGAGCAAAGGGAAATTAAGGGAAAGCAACAGGTTTGGGGCTGACCCAGCCCTGACTTCACAACAATGAGTAGGAATTATTTCATGTGGCCAGAGACAAGGTTGGTTTTGTCATAAAAACACACCAAAAAGCTTTCTATGGTACATGAATGCACCAAAACTCCAGAGCCACTCTCCCCACCGTGTCCATTTTCCCAAAGAAGGGGTCCCAAAAGCAAGTTAATAGCAAACTCCACCTGATCCAGGGCACAGCTTTCCTAATCACGGCGCTCATATATCTGTTAAACCCAAACTAATGAACAATCTTTAGGGCTCAATCTGTCCAAAAGCACAACTACTGACCCTGACTCATGTGTAACAACCAAAGTCTCTTCATAAGACAACTCCTCAATTCAAGGCCAGGTTGGAGCAACCCGCTCTAGTGGAAGTTGTCCCTGCCCATGGCAGGGGGTTGGAACTGGATGAGCTTTAAGGTCCCTTCCAACCCAAACCACTCCATGATTCTATGGTTCAATTAGAAGAGTAACAATATACTTCCCTGGAAATTAGCTTTAATGACTATATACACCTTGGCCCATACCTAAAACCAAGCCCAGCAGGCAGAGTAGCTGTTTCCTCTCCACAGGCTTCTCCCTCAAAGCTTGTCGCTGCCAGATTAAACCCTCTCCCCTTGTAACAACAGGTAAGTTAACATTTAGAGGTGACGTGTTTAACTTCATGAGGTATTTTAACACAGCCTTCATCAAGCTACTGCCTGTAGAGAACTCACCAGTGACTTGTAGAGCTACCCTCTGCTATGGGACACCCTGTTCACTCGCTCTGCTGCCCTGCACTCCACAACTGACACAGTTACTGATCAGCATGCAAATAAAACCATTCTCTCTGATGACTAAGGCTGTTTAGACAGTTATTTCCTCAAATTCCCTGTTCCTCTCCACCTCAGCCCAGAACCAGACTTACTGTTGCTGCTGAGCTTGGTTTTTCAACTGTTGAGAAAGCATTTACTGTGTATCTGAGCTGTCAAATACACAGTAACTTCATTCCCCAGGAGGACACACTGGTAACAGTCACCTGGGACAGCAGCTCCTCAATGAAGAGCCAGGAAGCTTTACAACATGGTTACCTCCTACCTCTGTGAAAGCAGCTTCAGGAGCTGCTTCTGTTACTCTGTGGCACCGGGCTGCACTGAACTGCTTTTTCAGAGCTCCAGCTGTAACTCCCTTTCCCATCTCCAGGAAAAGAGGTGCAATGCTTGGACACCTCTGCATTCGGGAGCCTAGCTGTTGGCTCAGCAGAACCACAGCCCCCTCCAGACTGACCCTGGAGTTTTCTTTGCTATTATCCTGAGTGTCAAAACACAGATGAGAGACAACAGAGCACGGTGAGAATCCCACAATGGTTTGGGTTGAAGGGACTTTAAAGTTCATTCAGTTCCACAGGCAGGGACATCTTCCACTAGAGCAGGTTGCTCCAAGTCCTGTGTCCAACCTGGCCTTGAACACGGCCAGGGATGGGGCAGCCACAGCTTCTCTGGGCACCCTGTGCCAGCGTCTCAGCACCCTCCCAGGGAAGAGCTTGAGGTAAAGTCACTCTAAAGTTCCTTTCAGTGTTCACACGATGGTTTGACTTTGCTCCTGCTGTATTCCCAGAGCAGCAGCTCCCTGGGTCGTGCTCCCATCGCCTCCCGACTTTTAAACCATGTTTTTACCACTGTGACACAAGCAAAAAAGAAACCAAATCTTCAGAAGTTCTTCATCAACTATGCAAAATAGGGCGAAACATGGTGGTGTTTCTAACACTGTAATCACCTCCATTCTCTTCAGGAGACTTAAGTAAAACTACACTTGGCAGGAAATACATCTCCACGTGCAGAAGGAAGCTGAAATGGCAAAAAACCCACCATAACAGCTACTGGGGAAGTAGCTGCTTTTATCGATGGTCTGAGAAAGTAACCACACTCTCCTGCCTTATGCAGGTGGAATTTAGGCTTTTCCATTGAGGGAGCTGAATGCAGGAAGTTATCTGAATAAATCCTGAAGACCAGGAATAACTGACAGGTTCTCAAAGACTATTGAGGTTCACTTCTTTAGCACAAACCAGGGCAAACCCTCGTTGAACACCTGATTTTGACTAATCACAACTGGAGAGGAAAGAGAAGCCAGAAAGAATGAAGTAACCTCTCCCGTGCTACTGCAGATGTTTATCTCCAGCACTCGCTTGTCCCATCTCATCAGCTGAACTCCATCTGCTCTGTGTCACTCTCCTACACTCATTGCAAGAAACAAACAAACCCCAATTAACAGTGGAGTTGAGCTGAAGTAGAAAGTTCAAGAGGAAAAGGTGCTGGAAGTGCCTTTCAGGAGCTGCTCTAACTAAAAGTCCTCCAAAAGGCCTTTACCCCATGTGTGTTCTGTGGGGGTTTTGGTGACAAGTAAGAGAAAGCATTTGCAGTTTACATGGAGAGAGAAGAACCTTGAACCCCCCAAAGCCCCTGGAGCACAAGTGCAGCGTGTGAAGTGATTCCACAACAGGGGTTGTGCATCTCCTCACACAGTGTAAAGAGCCAGAAAGCAGCCAGGAACCGAGGTAAAACTGAAAGAGCAGAAAGAGCAACAACCAGAAAGCAGCCAGGAACCGAGGCCACACCAGCAGGACTGAATGAGCAGCTTCAAGACAGTTACACGGGAGAGGTGAGCTGAACATTGCCTGCACCCTCAAACGGCTGCTAAACCCTTCCTCCCTCACCCACCACAACCGAGTGGCACTCGGTGCTTTCTGCATGGAGAAACACACGCACAGAGCAGCGCAGTGTGGTCAGGAAGCTGACAAACACCCGTGGGGATGGGGAAACACGGGGATACCAACCAAACACACGCCGAGAGCAGCGCAGCGTGGTCAGGAAGCTGCCAAACACCACACGCAGCCCGTGGAGATGGTGGAAACAAGGAGCCACCGGGCTCCCAGGGCAGGGAACTGGCTCATACTCACCGGCCGCGCCTGGGGGCTCAGGTAGGGCTCAAAGTCATCATCATTTAACCCATCCTTCTGGTGCACAGCTCCGTTTTGCACTGGGGAGGAGACGCAGCGCGTTAAGGGAGCACCAGTGCCACGAACCCAAAGCACTCACCGACACACCGCGCCCGGGACGCACC